AGTCCGAACATCAATGCGATTAGAAACTTGAAAAACCTGAAAATTATTAGCCACAGTGGTTGACCCAAATTTTTTTGAATGAGGCAGCCAATTATCCTCCCAACAAAAAATACTTTTCCCATTTCCTACCTTCCATAGCAACCCCTTTTACACCACTGGTCTTGCTGCAAGATACCACTCCAAGCCCAAGATGGATTATGCCCCTTTCCCGCATTCAAAAAATCCGAGGAAGGAAAATATTTTCCTTTCAAAACTTTATACAACAAACCAGTTTTCTACACTTGAAGTCTCCACCCCACTTTAGCTAGAAGAGCAAGATTGAAAGCCTCCACATCCCAAAAACCCAACCCACCACATGACTTAGGTTTCACCATACAATCCCAATTAATCCAGTGAATTTTAAACTTTTCCTCCCAACCAGCCCACCAAAATTGAGACAATAGTTTCTTCAACCTGTCACATATATTTCTCGGGAGCTTGAAGCAAGACATTGCATAAGAAGGAACTGCAGTAAGCACAGCTTTTAACAACACCTCTCTACCACCAGGCGACAAAAAATTTCATTTCCATCCCCGAATTTTCTTTGCAATTTTATCTTCAATAAAACTAAATACCTCCCTTTTTGACCTTCCTATTATAGGAGGAAGGCCCAAATACTTCTCTTGGCCCCCCTCTCAGGATATTAAGTAAATCCCTCAATAAAACTCGAGTTGGCAAAGGAGTATTTCGACTGAAAAAGAGACTGGACTTGTCAACATTCACAATTTGGCCTGAGGCTGACTCATACAAAGCAAGAATTTGTTTAATTTTAGAGATTTCCTCTTCATTGGCTTTACAAAATAGTAAACAATCGTCAGCGAAAAGCAGATGGGAAATAACAGGAGCCCTACACCCAATTTTAACCCCACTAATGTTTCCTCTTACCAGGTCCTAGTGCAATAAAACTGATAAGTCCTTCAGCACAAAAAAAAAAAAAAAAAAAAAAAAAAAAAAAAAAAAAAAAATATTAGGGAAAGGTGATAAAGGTCCCCCTGCCGTAAGCCCCTTGATGCCCAGAAAAGACCAGAAGGAGTCCCATTTAAAATAATCGAAAAACTCATTGTACTCATGCAAGCATGTATGAGTCTGACCCATCTATAATCAAACCCCAGCCTCTCTAAAACAGCCACAATATAACCCCATTCAACTCGGTCATAAGCTTTAGCCCTATCTAATCTAATAGCCATATCACCTTCCTGAGCACCTCTTTTATTCTTCAAAAAGTGCATAATTTCATGGGCAATAATAATATTATCATGAATTAAACGCCCCGGAACAAATGCACTTTGTGTTGAACTGATAATGTTGTCCAGCAAACCCTTCATTCTATTTGCTAGAGTTTTTGAAAAAATTTTGTAGACCATCTTACAAAGAGCAATTGGTCTGTATTGAGATATCTTGGTAGGATTAGGTACCTTTCGGATCAGTACCAGGTTAGTATGATTAAGACTCTTTAAGAGACTGCCAGAAATGAGAAAATCATTGAAAGCTAGAATGATACTGTCCTTCAAAATATCCCAGTGTTTTTGGAAGAAAAACGGTGTGAAACCATCAGGTCGCGGAGCCTTATAAGGAGCCATGCTAAACACAGCAACTTTCAACTCTTCTGCATTGCCCAATTGTAATAAACTTTAATTCTGTTCCCTTGTCACCTGGGGAAGCAAATGGCCAACCACCCTTTCAATATCCAGGGGATTTGACGATTGAAATAAATTTCGAAAGTGAGCTTCCGCTATCTGCCCCACCATCTGCTCATCATCATGCCAGCATCCAAACTCATCTTCAAGCCCCAAAATACTATTTTTCGATCTTCTATGATTTAATTTAGCATGAAAATTTTTTGAGTTCTTGTCCCCTTCCTTTAGCCAATGAACCCTGCTCTTCTGCTTCTAATAAAGTTCCTCATTTCTCCATAACGTATGAACTTGGGCTTTCAACGCATTATATTTATTCACATCAAAAGATACTGTATTTTAAGCAACCTCTTCAATTTCCTTCTCAACCATCTCAATATGTTTCCGCGAGTTGAAATCCTCCTTCTTTGTCCACTGCTTCAGAGCCTTTTTGCATCCACCTATTTTTTCCTTTAACTAAAACATAATAGGTGTACCAGTCACAGGATTGTTTTCAACCCAACGAGCATCAAATTTAAAAGAACCTTGCCACTTCCGTTGATGGCCCTATGTGTCCAACATCAAAGCCATGGCACCTGTACATGATGCAAAAAAGCTTTTGGAAAAAGAGAGACCTAATTGTCAGTCCCTAACGCCCTATCCAGCCTCTCCATGATGTTCGCATCTCCAGCCCTCTGATTATTCCAAGTAGACGGAAAGCCAGAGAAACCCAACTCCATAAGCTGACAATCATTGAAAGCTTTTAAAGTCCACCCTCACGAATTCTTCCACCTCTTTTCTCATCATTTGATCTCAAATCATTAAAATCCCCCAATAATAACCAAGGGCAATTGAGATTCGTATACTTTGATTTCAAATAACTCCATTGATCTTTCCGAACCGAATCAAAATTTGAAGCATAAATTCATGTAAACATCCACCAATAATTCTTCACACAATCTTTAATTTTAATTGAAAGCTGAAAGTCTGCCTCATCAATACAACCGACTTCAACCCCGTCATCCCAAAACAAAGCAAGCCCACCCGCCAAGCCATTCGGGTTTCTATACCAACAGTTAACAAAACCAATGCTTCTTCTTAACTTCTCCAACATAACCGCATCATTCTTAGTTTCTTGTAAGAATAAAATGTGGGGGAATAAAGCTTTAGGAGCTTTTTCAATTGGACAACTCTGAGGGGGTTCCCCACACCCTGACAGTTCCAAGAAAGTACCTTCATTGATCAGCATGGGGTCACTCTAGGCTGGCTTCCTCCACCTCATTATTAAGAGCAGGGCATGAATAATCATCCATCATCTTCAGCCCGCTATCGTGCACCCTTCCCGCGTGCCGTTTCCTACCATTAACCCCCAACAGACCCGAAAGCATCCATAGCTGCTTTCCGTTTCAGACCACTCTCAGTTACTTCATCCTCATACCCAATCATCAAAGAATCCATTGTAGATGACCCAAACGATCCCGCCATGCGAGCAAGCCGTTTCCATTTTTTCCCAGCTGAAAATGATTTACGATCCTCCTTGGGCTTCTTTGGTTGGATGGAATCGAAAAAGAAAGAAAAGAGAAAATTTTAGAATTTGTTTAGAGTTTAGATTCATGGACAAAAGAATTGTAATAATAAATATAGTTTCTCGCATTAGATTAATTTCTCTCAAAACTTTTCTCATATAAAACACACGAGGAAGGAAATAAACTACTTCTTTTTATTTGAAGTTCTTATTTTATCCGACAATTGAATCATGTAAAACAATTAACTTCTTTATTTTTTAACTAAGTTTCTTTTCTACTAAGTTTCAAAAAGGCAAGTTCTCTAATAATTTCTATTTTAGTAGACTTCTAGAAGGCAACTTCTCTCTAAACATGTTCTCTTGCAATACTATTTGGACTATTTTTTTTTTTGTTCCAAATATACATTTTATCATATATATTATACACCTCTATTATTTATATATACAGAGAGTAATATATATATTTTTTCTTTTTTTGTGTTCTCGGGTTGAAAGCTCACAAGTCCATGAGCCCAAAATTTTTTTATTTTTTATTTTATTTTTAAGCTTCTTTATTTTTCTTAAATGAATAAATAGTTCTACTTTTGCGGTTCTACCTAAGAAGTCTTGAATATTGTTTTAATTTAAACTAGATTAATAATTATATTATTAAAATTTAATAATTCATCATTTTATTAAAACTTTGATAAAAATAGACATCATCAAACACAATTTTTTTTTTTTTTTAGTATTTGAAATTATAAGGGTAATTTTAGTATACAAAATTACTTTATTTTCATTTTCATACTATCAAAACTAACAAATTAATATTTTTATAAAATTTTTCTACATAAATTTCCATACTAATCAAATATTTGATAGAAAATGACTTTCCTTTTCATCTACTTCATTTTTTTTTTATTTTTCATTTCCTTTCTTTTCTTACTTATTTCTATCTAGTCACACGGTTAGTGATTGCAGAAGGAATAAGCATACCCTTATTGGCATCCAAAAACAATCTGGATTAGTAAACTCAAAATCACGTGACTTGTCAGCTTCATCTAGAGTCTAGACCCTTCGAACAAATTGGAGGTCTCCCCCACTCAAGTTAAAAAAATTACTAGCAAGCCCACACAATGGATCCGCAAAAGAACGAGGCCCTATCACCAATCTTCGGAGCACTAAAGGGAGAAAAGAGAGAGATGGACATGAGAGGAAAACGAAATTGATATGAGATCATAATAATCGTTACACAACGTTTATTTCTCATTAAATATTTTAAAATTTTATGCTCACAATTATTTACATACCTTTCAAATGACGCAAAATGTGTTATTTCTCCTTTTGACAAAAAGGTGACCATAAGTGGTATTTCTAAAATTATTAGTCTTTCATTTTTTTTTTTAAGGCAAGCAATACGTGCATACACCAATTTTTACTCCTATGAAGACTTGAACCATCAACTTTTTATTTTGAAAGATGATAAAATACCACTAAAACTTGGATAAATTCATTATATTCTAAAAAATTATTTGTCAATTTGTGTCTCCGTTTGTTTCGATATAAAATACTCTTTTTGGAATTTTTTTTTTTTTTTTTCGGGTAAAATATTTTTTACTTTTACTTTGTCAGAATTTGACAAAAATCTACGTCGAAATTGAAATCGAGTTCATCGAGCATGTAAAATAATTTACCAAAAATTTATGGATAAATTATTTTTGTTAAATTTTAATTTTTTTTTCCTTCATAAATATTTTATAACAACCAAAAACAAGAAAATAAAAAAATATTTTATATCCGAACAAACAGAACCTTAAAGTAGAATGGCCGTAGAAAGAATAAGATTAAATACACATGCTAACATTTCATTCAATTTTAGTAATTGTTCCAGTACTATTTATGAGAATCCGTGATATATTTTGAAAAATTATAGGGTTAAATGCAAAAAATTCTCCCTGAACTATTAACTAATTAGTAACAAACCCCTCAGAATTATAAAAATTGCAAAATCCCCTTAACTATACATTTTTTGTGGCAGATGACCCATCCGGCACGGGCACGGGCACGGGCACGGCTGCCGGTTAAAACTCACTGGTAAAATACCATGTGTGGTCACATAACCCATAATATTTAATTTAAAGACCATAATACCCTTATAAACATAAAAATACTATATTGCCCCTTATTTGACACCTAAACACAAACACACCCTCTTCTCACAGCTACACCCAAACACGCCCTTATCACTCTGCATCACACACACACACAAATATAATGTATATCCTTGGAACCACTGTTCATCTTCTTCGCACGTTTTTTACAAGAAAAAAAAAATGGCTTTTTTCTTTCGTATTCCGAGCTTACACCCATGCGAAAAGGGGCATTGACAGGGCTATTAGATCGGGCAATGCTCTCGATGAAATAAAGAAGTATATGAACCTATTTGTAGTGCCAAATTATTGGGTACAGTTCCTTACTGAAACTTAGCTGGCGCAACAAAATATGTGAAACCTACAAAACAACAAAACCATAAACATTTAATTCTTCAAATTCAATACATACACATACATTGATAATCAATGATTTCAGAATCTGAATAATTAAATCAGAATCTGAGACACCTACTACTGATCAACAAAACCATAAATATTTAATTCTTCAATTCAATACATGCATACATTGGAAATCAATTGTTTAAGAATCTGAATAATGAAATCAAAATATGAGAAACCTACCGATCAATCCACAAAACCATAAATAATTAATTCTTCAATTCAATATTTATATATATATATAAAAATATGCATTGAAAATTAATGATTTCAGAATCTGAAATCATAATATCTGAATAATGAAATCAAAATATGAGACACCTACTGATCAATCCACAAAACCACAAATAATTAATTCTTCAATTCAATATAAAAATTAATGATTACAGATGATAATCAAAGAATGATGGATTGGAATTGGATACCTAGATAGGGAATAAATCTCTCGGCTTCTCTCTCTAGAACTTCTCCGCCTGCAGGAGGTGAGGGAGGGAGGTGGCTTGTTCGTCCTCCGTCACGGCGTCACTGGAAATAATCGATGTCGTCGCCACCGTTGCGCCCGCCCGCCCATCGCCGGTCCCGCTGCTCACAGCCCCAAGCTCTCCACGGCCGAGCCAACATCCAAGCTCTTCACCGCCGACCGATTCCAGACCCACCGCCCATCACCGGATCTGTCTCACCGGTTCACAGCCGCGCTTCATCACAAGCCGCTGTCGTCACCGCTGTGCCAGTCACTGAGTATCACCGCTGTTCCTTCTTCATTTGGGATATTGCACATAAACTTCTAGTTTGCAGAGACATATATGATATAGATGTATAATATTATATTATAGAGTATTATATACCAAGGCCACGTCAGCAAGTTAAGGCGAATTTGAAACTGCATCGTTTATTAGTAAGGACAAAATTGTCTTTTGCTTTTCAGGTGACGTGATGGGCTGAATTGCAACAAAATAAAAGTTTAGGAATTTTTTTTTTTTATAGTTCAGGTAATTTCTTGAAAAATCCTATTAGTTTAGGAATTTTTTTTTTACATTAAACCCTAAATTATATTTAGGCCTCTTTAAGTTTGTCATTATTGCACGCAATGGTTGAGATTGGCTATTGGCTTTTATGGCACTGGCTCACGTGTTTACATGATCCACTAAAGTTAACTAGCGGTCACAATTGTCAGAGTGATGATGAATTTGCCTTTACTGAAAAGTCATTATTTACCTTTTAAATTTCACAAAATTAGAGCAACCCCAGCGCTCCCATTTTTTTCCATTCCGCATTTTATTTTATATAAAGTGTATAACCATGTCACCAATTTTATATAAAGTGTAAAGTCATATCAGTAATTAATTATACACTTATTTTGAAGATTGTAAGTTCTTGTTATGCACTCATTTTTTCATTATACACTTTATTATATTATTATTTTTTAAATAATAAAATAAATTTTGTTATTATTTATTTTCTTTTCCAACAGTTTTATTCTTAACAACTATAATACTAACGACTATAATTGTTTGTTCCGATTTAGATACAAGATTTTAAATATATATATATATATATATATACTAAAAAATAATAATATTACATATATATATATATATATATATATATGCATTACATAGCTTCCTACAAATAAAATAAAAAATACAAGTCAGAAAAAAAAAAAATACATTAATACTTCCACACATGAAAAAAAATATAGTAAACATTACAATTAATTGCCCCTTTTTGCATAACGCGTCATAATTTCATTTTGTCTTTTTACAATTAAAATTTGACTATCTTTACATTAATTAATTAATTCAATACATATATAATAATTATTTTATACACCATCATATAATATTATTTTTTTCATTTTATATCATTATCTCACACACAATGGCTCACTGCGCCTGCAGACTGTCAGACGCCACCCCATTCTTTATATGTGAAGAGTGGGGTGTGTAATAGGAGTTGGGCCCCACAAGTGGTAAGCTGCACAACAAGCAATATGCTTCTACACCGTCGTCATAGATATTGTACAAACTGAGCTTGCGCTGGGGGTTGCTCTTACAATGACAGATTTATATTAATATACTCCGTACATTATATTGATTGCCATCACCATTGTCATTCTGGTCGTTGACATCTTTTTACCAAAAAATTTCAAAATAGCTGAAAAGTGTAATATTTTGATCACCATTAAGGCATAGAAATTCTCAAGACGTTGCCATAGTTTTCACAAAAAATCCAACTTTCAATATCTTAATCTAGGTGTTCCTTGGAAAACCAGTGAAAATTAGAAGGGGAATAAAGTACTAAAATCATTTCCAGATTCATCCCATTCTAAACCTTCGGCTACAAGTCCAACAAATGAATAAGTTATTATGCCCGTGTATTTATATTGAGTTCTCAAGTTTCACTTTGTTTTCAAAAAGTATTAATTACATACCTGCATATATTTATTTATACAAGCTATTTTTACCATACACTACAAGTCAAGAGGTTAAAAACATTTTACCTTAATATATATATAACATGATCCGTGTATTTTTTGTATTAATATATATATATATATAAGTCAAGTCAAGAGGTGGTCAAGAGGTTCCTTGTAGTGTATTGTAAAAAAACTTAACATGATTCTAACGTGAATCTGATCTGTTAAGTTGGATATGGATTATGTTTTTGATCCGGTAACTCGACAATGATCCGAATTGAATAATTTAATTGCTTAACAAATCAAATATGGTTAGGGTTAAAACGATCCGATAAGAACACAATCTGATTATATAATATATGATATATGTTATATAATTTTGGATTTATATAGATTTGAACAGATTAACCAATCGAAAGTAAGATAGAACATGATATGGTAGTGCTAAAAGCATATTAGAAAATATCATTGTATATATTTGCACCCACACATTCCAGTATTCCACTAAGAAATCAGAAGAGGCTTACAGTATTATGCCGAAAGGACGAGGGGGAGTGAGAGGCCAGATCGTCATCAACTCGCCAAAACCCTAGTTCATCTTCTCAAATGTGTATAATGTTTTTTTCTGTTTTTTTTTTTTTTCTCTCCTGTTACAATATAGAAGCCTAGTTTTTTTTGGGTAGATAATGGACAAACCCAATTTTCATGATGAAAAGATGAGTTTATTATACTATTTCTCTCTTCTATTATCCTTCTGCTCAAATACAATATAGAAGCCCTATTATTATTATTATGGTTAAACAATAAACAAGCCCTAATTTCATGAATTTTTTCTCTTTTCCCTTACAAAGATTATCATCATTTTTTTTTCCTTTTTCCTTTTTCCTTTTTCCATGTTCTCTCTCCCATTTTGTTTCCCATTGTTTGCTTCTTGTTATTCTAATCTTGTTTTGTGAAATAAATAAATAAATAAAAACTTGATCTATTCAAAAGAGTAGTTTTGTAATTAAACGGATTGCATTATTGGATTGGCCATCCGAGAAGTAGAATTTCGGAAATGGATTCATTACTTGAAAATTCGTCAGATTATCGGATCGAAACGAATTGCTTTTATGCTCATCGAATTTGGATCGGATCAGCTGTGATCCAATCTGTTTACAAGTCTACACCCAACCGAGGAGATTACTTTTTGAAATTTTGTCAAAATACCCCCACCAAGTCAAGGGTTTTTATGCAATTCATCCAATTATGTGAATTTAACTAAAGGCTTCTATTTTTTTTTCTTTAATAATAATATTTGAACTTATATTTTCCATTAAATGCATCACTGTATTTTCAATTACAGAAAAACGTAAAAATAAATAAATAAATAAAGAGTAAACTTCATATATAGTTACAAGTGCATCTACATGTTTTTTCTTTAGTATATGCCTAGCACAGTAAAATCTTGTTATAGGCTTTCCCCATATTTTTTAAAAAATATTCAACCAAACAAAATGAGAGAAAAGTCTTTTTAAAAAAATTAATATTAATATTTGTAGATGTAATTGTCTGATCAATTGTCCATCTAATATACTTATACATATATGAATTGTATAAGATATAATATAAATAATACAATAATGGTATATATATAATATATAATATGTGTCGCGCCCAAATTTTCCTTACAACACCCTCGTATGGAGAATGTTTGTGTAAATTATGTAAATGAAAATGCTTTGGGGAAATAAGACTTTTAATGCGATAAAAAAGTAAATAAAGCTTGACTAATGGAGTCACCACCTAAGATCGAGTTTTGGTGTGTTAGGTCGGTCACCTAAAATATGTGCATGTGAATTATACGTGACATCCTATAAGATGACATCCATACGGTCTACCAAAACTAGATGAACAGATTCAGAGATCTAATTAATACATGGGGAAGGTGTTAGGCACCCCATGTATCCATTCTTATACATGGTTGCCTAAATTCCATGTGATTCTCCAAGTGTACCTATGCGTGTCAGTGCAAGTAGAACTTTAAAAGATTTTTTTTATTTTATTTCTTTGGGCTTTTTAGATGAGATTAAATCTACTATGAATACATAAACTCATTTTTTAGGTGTGTAGACACCCCATTTTACCCTCCCACTTTAAATGCACCAACCATCTAGACTCCGAGAAGGAATGGTGTTTCCATCTCCCAAGACCATTTCTCGGTAGGGCCCATTTACGGTAGAAAACTAAAAACAAAGAACCGGACCGTCCGATTAGATATCAAACTTCACCATCACATGTCTAACATCATACAACCCCAAGAAACATTTCGATCGACCACATCAGACACTTCCCGGCACCCGATTACCAATTTCCCGAGAAGTGCAAAATTGAATTGTCAGAACGACAAATGAACTTCACCACTATGTCCAAAGCAGCCAAAATCCCTAAGGTACCCTTCACCCATCACTCACCTTGACTAGACCCCTCGGTAGGGCCCGAATGGTCAACCCCGAGTTTGACTTTTCACACTGATGGTCAAAATTACCTATGAACTTCACCATTATGTTTAGAAGATCCAAAAACCTTAAAAAGCATTATAATATTGCTTACCTTCCAGGAATGGTCCTCGGCTCTGGATTGTGTGAATTTTTGCATTAATAATTGGCACTGTCTATGGGAAGTGCAAAATGATCATGTTTTCGACCCAAATTAGGGTTGCCACACATACATTATTATTACGGTTTAGACCCAATCTGGGATTGCCATACATACATTATTACTACGGTTCAGACCCAATATGGGGTTTCCACACATATATCACCAATGGCGAAATTTTCTCACCAAGGTTGTAGTCAGCCGCCGTCACATCAGTTAACTTTTGTTGTAGTATACACCTTTGTTCACAATAATTTCTCTGTAAAATAAGATTCTCTCTCAGTTTCAAGAGAGTGATATGATTGTATTTCACACACTTAGCTATGACATTTCAAATCCTTTATTACAAATTAAAGGAACACTTTTTTTGTTATCAACTTTACTTTTAATAAGTTGTTTCAAATAATTCATTCTTATTTTGATATGTTAAGATATTCATGTTTAAATTATCATTTATTATGAGTTTATTAATAAAAGAAAATCTAATTAGACAATGACATATTTAAAGAAAATAAAATAATTTCTTTAAAACTCTACCACAAATTACCTACTTTATTTTTAATAAAACTCTATCACATTATACAATGATATATTTAAATTAAACAATGATTATTAATATAAAAAAATTTATTACTTGATATAAAAACAAAATAATTTCTCTAAAACTGTATCACAAATTACTAATTATTATGTAATACCCCGTAATTTTAAAGAATGTATTTAAATTAATTTTGTGTTAGGTTAA